CGGTCGGGAATGGCCAATACCCATTGGTCATTTGCTCGACCAAGAACGCTGCCCAAGCTGCACCATAGAGGTCAGCTGATTTTATACCCGGAAGAAAGGGGAAGTTAAGGTTTGATCCCCAGCGTTCAAATTCGAAGGCCTCCACTGCTTTGCTTCTACTATCAAACCTCTTGACAGGATTTTCAGCTCGCCGGTATTTCCAGTACCCCCCATGCCACACAGACACTATGCAATTACAAGCATTCAAGCTTTCAATGAGATTCGAACCTAGGCCCAACAATACCGCAGTCGGCAGTGCTAACCACTATGCGATTAAGGCAGCACCTAAAAAGGTAAACAATCACTAATCTAAGTAAAGTGTAAAACATTTGATGACATTGAAATAAAGTGGAGTGAAAATTTGGTAAAACACTGAAGAAGCGACTCAGATAAAGAAGTTATTTGGACCAATTAGAATACAATGAATAGCATCAAGAAAGAAATGCACAAAGAACTGCAAACGATTTTACGCATGGAAAAACACACAGTGTTAAATATTAATTTAGAAATCTATGTTAATTCACATTTAAAAACATGTATATTTAACTATATATGCTCTTCAGCGGCGGCACAGCGGAAAAGAACGCAGAACACTGTAGTTCGACTCGAATTAATATCCCAGAGAAAGGGCTGGCTGCAACTGTTTCACGATTTTCCCCATAACTAACGTTAATTGTGATCCAGTTTTCCCTCATTCCACTAAGGTGTCCCTCTCCTTCAGCAGACAAACCTAGTGCACTTTATCATATTCTAATAAACCGAAATCCGTGTATATGGCGATGAACACTGTTTTGGAGGCTTCCCGAAAACTTAAATGCTGCCAAATTTTCGCAGGAAGTTCCCTTTTGGCTATCAGAACATTAGTATTACTTTTCCGGATTATATACAGGAACTTATCAGCTAATTTGATTTATATATATTTAATATCGTCTATTTGAACTTACAATATCAGATGTATATTTTAAGCTAATGTGGAGTTAAAGTTATCTAATCTTCCTTGTTAAGACGAAATTCTTATTTTGGGCACAAATGTCTTAAAACCCATATATGAAAGCCAAGCAAACCATTCTTCCTCACATAAAGAATTAAGTGTTCTCAAGCTTAGTTTAACTCTGAAATTGTAACTTGAGTAAGCTAGAAGAAACAAGTGGCAAAAGAAATGAGAATTTTCAATACTCATTTTTTATTCCTTAAGTCTCTAACTCGATTATCAGCCCCTGGATAATTTGCTTCCTCAAAGAATGTGGCTTTATAGTTGGTGTGTGTGTGATTATGGCAAAGCCTCGAGGGCTATCTGCCTAAGGGGAGGGATGCCTTCGTGGAGGACTTTCTAAGGGAAACTGGCTCGTATACACGTTACACATGGGGAAAACCACGAAAACGCCCATGCAGCCAGCCCGTTCGCGGGATTCGAACCTCGGACCGAACTACCAGTGTTCAGCGACTTTACCGCTCGGCCGCTGGTGGGCCCTTTATAGTTGGAAAGGTCTGATTTGAGACACAGCAACTGGTGCATTTGAGAAAAAATATGGATCACTATTTGTTTGACATTCCTCTCACGAAGTAGTTCCACTTACGCAAACCAAAAATTGGCTTCGCATCAGATTCAAATAATCGCGCTCTACACTGTAAAACTGCAGGGTCTTACCACCGAAAAACGTCCGAAGAAAATAAAACAGTTCCTTTATGTAAGGATTTATCAGAAGTTTTAAATATATATGAATATTTGATGCTAAAAGCATTTGAAATTCTATACATATCGGATAAATCCATAAATATGAATCTTGAATATGTATTTACGTTTATGTAAATATTTTAAATAATACTGCATTTAATGATTCATTTCCCTTTTGCATTTTTCGACTAGTGGTTCTCAAATTTTCTTTTAAATTCTAAAGAAAAGAACAAAGCGTTTCTTGCAAAATATATTCCCAAACTACCACCGTAAATCAAGTTTATTGTGCCTTTCACAACAATGCATCTGTATAAGTATGTTTCTTTATCTATGGTGTACGTAAAAAAGAAATACTAGAATAAACTAAACTTGAACCTTCACTGAAAGAGATTCGCTAGAGGATTCTCAGATTCCATTTCAAAATTATAACTAAAAAAATTTTTGATTCGACAAACTTGTATTTGGGTTTATTTTTTATTTTCGAAGAAATTATGCAGGAAAATGCATAAAATATTTCTATGGACATTTTAAGATAATGTTACACTTTTTATTTTACTTCACTAACTGATTTAAATTATTCTAAATGAAGGATAACTTGAAAGCAACAGAAATAGGATAATTTAAATAGCGTTGAAACATTTCTAGAACAAATTTTATTTTTCAACGATTTTGTCAGGGAAGTTTGTTAAGCTTATCCAGGCAAATTTTAGAACTCTCCAAGGTCTGAAATACCGAATTCCAAAATGCTTGGAATTCGAATTTGGACCGAAATTCTTCTCCAGAAGATGTATATTAAATTGCTTAACCAGACCAACGAATACAATCTACGCAAGGTGTGAGAACCGCTGTTAAATTCTCAATTGATATCACTATTCTGTTTAAAATATAAAAGCGCAATTTTTGTTCAGTATTATTTCATTTTAAACAGACAAATTAAACTCGATCACTTTCAGTGGCAATTATTTTACTAGATCTTTGGGAAAGCACAATTGTGATATTTTTCTTCATAATGTTACTTTTCCAGTGTTATGAACACTTTATTTATAAATTCAAATTTCTCATTTATCCATTTATCTGAAATTTACTATGAAAATCAAAACGTCGATCTTGTTATCAAGATGTATGAATATGGCGAAATGAGACACAATGTGGTAATTTCGACAGCTATATGCAATCATAGTTTAAAAAACACAGCATTCTAATAGTTATTCTATGAAAAGGATTCATATTAAAGGATTCAGATGTATTTAGAGTTTTGTACTGTTACAAAAAACTTTTTAACGCGTTCTTTATTTATTTTTCACAAGGTGCCGCATCCAGCCAGTGTAATAATGTTAAATAAAAAAAAGAGCAACAAATGCAAGTATTTTCAAAGAAACAGAATATGTTAGCATTTTTTTAATATCGATCACAATTCAAGGTACATGATGACCGGAAAAATATTTTTATATTTCAAGGTGACCAACAGAGTTAATTTTTAATACTGTTGTCAAATAATGAAATTTAACAGATATCCGTAGGTCTTATGGTTGGGTTAAATGCAGATACAGCTAAGATAACTGAAGTTTTCTGCTTATAAAAATAAGCTGTAAGCAGAGCTTCATAACAAATTTCAATATAGTGCGTGATGAAAACGTAAAATTAGCAATAACATAATGTCTCGTGTTTTAGGCCACAAATCTGTTAACAATAATTATACTTGGGCCAGCGATAATGAAGTATTTTAATAATAAAAGCAATTTCCATTGATATGCATTTAACATATTTCATTTATACACTTAAACAGATATTTTTATGAATTCTGATATATACCAATATATTTGTATATATACACATGTTATAAAAATATGTTACCATTAAGAGGAATAATTTAAATGTTTCTAAAAATTCTGGGTGTAAAACATTACATAAAATAGGACATTTTACAACTGTAATATTAATCTAAGAGTATTTGACAGTCATATAAACAACCAAACTAGCACTCTAAAATCACATTTATGCTAAACTTCTAATTACTTAGTCATTGAATAACATTAAAGGGACAGCAATAAATTACTCAAATTTACCGCATTATAACTATTGTTATTTATTCCGAAATTGCTAGAATGAAATTGCGTAAATGATAGTTAGGTATTTCCTTTATTTGCAGTAATAATAATATTAAAGACGGACTGCATGTTTATAATGTAGATATGAACTGCATTTTAAAATGTAAATAGTTAAACATTTGTAATTTTCATTTAGAATATTTTAAATAGAAGAAACAAGTGGCAAAAGAAATGAGAATTTTTAATACTCATTTTTTATTCCTTAAGTCTCTAACTCGATTATCAGCCCCTAGAAAGTAAAGCGGCGACCCAGTCAATAGATAAATATCCGGTTTGGTTCTTCATTTAATGAGAAGATTCTCTACAGATGTCTCATCTACAAAATTCTTGTAAACTGACAAACTAAAATAAACCATATCAGAAATATCGACCAAACTAAAATAAAACCATATCAGAAATATCGACCAAAATTTCAAGCAGCAACTGTCAATATAAAGAAATAAGTAAAGAGTTCGTTTCAGAAGGTTTGTATTTAGCAGATATGTTAGCTGAGTCTTCAGCATCAAACTATAAAACTGAAAATTGCTTTTCCTTAAAATAATTAATTTGTTATGAGAGCTTTTACGTGGATTGTGTCAAGCGAATTGTCGTTTTAACCCTTTGCGGCACAGTGTGTCCGGTCTGGACACACCTAAAATTTCCCTTCTGTACGCACAGAAAAATTGAATGAAAAAGGATTTATAGGTTACTATAGGTACTCTGAACCTTCTTTATTTATATTAGATGGCAGCTCAACACAAACCAATCCATATATTTTAGCCATGTTTAGTTTTTTAAGACCCTCATTTTTCAAAGAAATCTTCCAGATTTTTTTAGGGTATAAAAGGAATTGTTTGAAAATAAATTTTCTATGTTACGTTTTTTGGCTGTATGCTAATCTCCTTATTCTACATTAGTTTTAAATTTTTACCTTAAAATCTTGCCTAAAATCAAACGGCGAACTCTAGGTGTGCCCAGACCGGGGTCACCGATAATCTAGGACAACTGAGAGTCTGTATTCTTTGTTTCTCAGCATCTCATCGGTCAGTTCATTGACAGCAATGCTTGTTTCAGCACTCTTTTCGAAGCTCTATTCAATCAGTGTGCCCACTTTGGGCACACCCACAGAATTAAAAGATAAGTGCTATCTTCACAAAATTTTACTTGGTACTTCTCTAGGCCTAATTAGACTGCCTACCTTTTTTTTTTTTTTTTTTTTTATCAAAACTCCAATTTTAAAAGGTAGCATGCCGGAAAGGGTTAAATCATAACGTACACTTTTTTTAACAATTTAATGAATGTATTGCTAATATTGTTCACAAACATACTCATAAATCGACTTCAATTATTATTGAATATAAATCTTAAAATGTTCTTCGTAACAAATTAAATACATTAAGTACTTTCTTTCTTAAATAAACTCGTGAAGTTATACACACTATGGGTTCTTTCCTTTCGATTTCTAAGAATGGTGCAATTGTATTTTTAAAATAATTCTACTCCATTTGAGCATAAATTATTTTGTAAATAACCTTCATCTTGAATTTAATGCCTTCATTAATTAATTAATATTTAATAGCTAATATGTCTCAATGACAATCCATAAATAAGTTCTAAAATGAAATTCCTGATACTTCTCTTCCAAATAACAGCGTATCTGATTTTTGTAATCTAAAGTATTAAACGCATTTAAGGCACTTAACCCTCAAATAATTTTTTGTTTGTTTATTAAAACCAGTTAAAAAGCTGCACAATTGGTCAAGAATTACTATCAAATATATATATATATATACATACATAAAGCGCAACAGATACCTTACTGACTGGAATATAATACAAATACAAAATATTAATAAATCGTATAAAATTTATGTGATGGCAATAATTTCAAAACTCAAATAAAAAGTATTTTTAAATAAATTTGAAAATACTGATTAAAGGTATCGATAACAATTCATTTATGAAAACTTTAGATCTAAACCTGAAATTATTAAGTTATATAACAGACTATATTTAAAAAACTATATTTAATTCAAAATTTTAATTTTCATATCACAGATCAATAAGGTAATTTATTTTAATATCAAACAGATATATTCAAATTTTATTTAATTCCTGCTAAAGATACAAAAGTTATAACTAAAACTGCAAGAGTGGTGTACGTATTTTTGGAAGACCGGAGGCACAAATTAGGAGCTTCATTACATAAAAAACATACAAAAACAATCACAGCTTTTTCTAACAAATTTATAGCTCATCAAACCACTGTATGATACATTTTCACAATTATGCACACAAGAAATACCGCTGCCTAAATACAATCGTTAAAAATTATGCACACAATATTCAATTCAATCTAATCTTTGGCCAATTTTCTGCGCTTCACAAAGCGGTAACAAGCTCAGTGTTAGATCTTAAAATAAATTTATTTTTATTTAAATCTATGCAATATCTTTCTGGAGAGAGTCATTTTAATTCTCGAAAGCTTAAATTAACAGGAAATTATTTGGATACGTCAGCAGCATTATATCTAAGGAAGTAACATTGTCTCTTAATGAAATCAATAAAAATCTGAAACAATAAAAGAAATTTTTCTAAATATAGGAAGGTATATATTTTGTTAAAATATCAGTTGATACAAATTCGATATACATGTTACTTTGTTATATACATTTTATATAGAACTATTTAAAAGAATTTACATTACAAATGCCCCTTGTGAATAAAACTTTCTTTCTCAACCATTCATGTTTTCAAAAAATAAGTCTAGTAGCGAATGCACTTATAGTAAGATCATAAAATATTCATGGACATAAGTACATGAGAAACCAGTGGCATATCCTCATCAAGGACATCATCAATAAATTTAAACTTCCTATAATCCATTTAAACTGCGTCATAAGTTTCTGAATTGCACACTGAAGTTTCATCAAAAACAAATTCTTCCCTCATATAACAACTGTGTCTCAAACAAAGTAAGCCAAGGTTTTCACACTGTTCCGTTCGTTAGTCCAGCAACATAGGTCACATGCTGCTGAGATGATCTACTCCTATTTGCCTGGATAGAACATCTTGAGGAGTTAGATGGCCCGGGATGCATCGGTATGAAGTCTTCTTTGGTTACCATGGGAACAGCAACTGAACTTCCTCGTGAACCAGAACGACGTCGAGGACGACAATACACAAGGAGAGCAAAGATACAGCCCAAGACAGCAACAGCAACAACTATAGCGGTCACTACAATGGGGAATGGAAGAGATGCTTGAAAGTCCCCGCTTCCTGTGAAATAAATCAAGAATTTAACATTCTACAACATATATTAAGCTCGGACTATAAATATTACTTTCATAAGATTTAAATATACTAATCGACTTCGTCCTAAAACATGTCGAAATGCTTTTACATTTTTATAATACACTTTTATTTTCGTTTAAATAATTATGCATTCTCTGTGAAATGTAGAGTGATTTTGCTCCCAGATGATGTTAATTCAAATGCGCTGCAATTTTTATTACATTTACCATATTTTTTTAAATAGCACATTTGCACATAAATTTGTTTCTTGAAATAAGGGATAGGCATCCATACATATAGCCAGGCACTTGTACATCAGTCATTTTATATATCTAACATTTCATAATGTTTTAAAAAAGAAAGAAACATTACATAAAATCTGCTTAATTTTTCAGAAATTCACATACGAACTCTGAAAAAGTCTGCATGTAAGTCCATTGCGTTTCCTGGCAAATTAGTTTCCTCCATATGCAAAACAAGTTAACCTTCAATCCCTATAAATATACATCACAAAATAAAGAATTAAACAATCAAATGGTATTATGATTAAAATAAGCCTGTCTAGTTTTCTAGAAGTCAAAATTTAGATAGTACATTTAAATAGCTTTCGAGAAAGTGGAGAAATTCTATGTCCAAAAAGAGGTGAAAAAATGTAAAAGAATTGTCAAATCATTGAAAGTTACATTCTGTAACAAGTAGTTAATAGTTTTAAAAATTTGAAGGACTAGAAAAAAGGTACCCACATCGAAATATTTTCTTTCTATACTTAAATTCTATGACGTCTAGATGTAATTTAATAACTACTTGATCTGAAAAGTCAGGATAGGAAAAAATAGTAATATATATATATATATATATAATAAAAAATAAAATCTAAAACACACTTCTGAATAACAAAATAAAAACTGCGAGAACTGGTACACACTCAGAAAAAGAGCAGGGGTTAAAAAGAAAACACTACCTATATTATTACATAATATTTTTTTTCATGTATTTGAGCCGAAATTCCTTCGCACGAAAATACTCTCGGCTAATCCGTTTATTATTACCTCCGCTCATAAAATTAGATTTTTGGGCTCAAGAAGACTGGAGAGTTTCAATTCATATGCATTTAAAGAGAAATTCTTTTCAAGTAAAATGAAAACCAACGTTAATTCATTACACATTCATAGGTGACTATCGGACCATAAAGTTCCAATAACTTTACACATCCTAACAAAACTGGAAATGGAAAATGTAAGGAAATTAAAAAAATTTCGTTTTCATGTTAGTTGCCAGAGTTGCATAGCACTGAAAATATGCGAATGAATGATTTATTTATTGACATGCATGACTACGATGTCATTTATTTCATGAAAATGAAAAGTCATAGGCGATGCTTAAAGGAAAAAAGCCGAAATATAATAACAGAAATATATATCAATTATTAAATTTACTCCTTTACTAGGGTCAAAGCAATTAAAGCCAGTATAATTTAGAACTTTCTCGGTGGATAAGTAAAATTCGAAACGAAATTATTAAATATTGGTTCTAAATTCAGAAATAATCATTATCGAAGGCATTAAAATACAAATGCAGTCCATTCAAAAATCAAGACGGTATTTACATAGTGGAATACAATAAAAATCTATCATCCTCATGCCATTTTTCAATAACATAATAACAAAGCAGGTATTGAATAGCATATATTTCAAACAGATAGCAAATGATTTGAATTCAATCAAAATGTGCGAATAATTTAATATAAGTTCATTTAATATAAAAAGATTTCTTAAATAATTCCGCTGATGAAAATAAAATACCCTCATTTAAATCAGTAGAGGCGTAGACTTGCCAACCGCAATGTCTCATGGGCTCATTTTCTGTTCCTAGAGAGAAAGCTAATGTTCTTTTTGCTGTTTCTAATCCCCCAAAGGGCCCAGCACTTAGATTAATGAAGGCTAATAAAATACTATTATTATCAATCTTATTATTGCCCATTGTTTTCCAATGCGTTTACATTTTCATGCTTTTATCTGATCACATACAATACCCAGACATGCAGTGCACCCGCAGATTTCTGGTGACAAACAAATGAAATTGTAACAGCTTTGGTAAATTTTCTGGTTAATGGGGGCGTACATAGCGTTCTCATTAAATTGTATTACATTTTAAAGATATAAATATTTGAACAAAAATGTATCCAAAATGGTATTTTGAATTTCTTATGTGCTCGATCTATACCTGATCTAGGCGTTTTTCAGTTTGAATAGCTATTTATGAAGGTAGCAAAGTAAATATACCTACAAATTCAAGCAGCTTTTAAAATAATCTGGGCTGAAACACGATTTTCTTAGGATGAGTTCATTTAGCAGATTTAGAGTAACTTGCTAACTGCTAATTGCTGTGCATTTAATGGAAACTCAAACTTTATAACAGAACTGCCTAAAAGGTAACCGAATTTTTGCCAAGAAAAATGTATTGCTTATATGACGGGATTGGAACCCTAATACCCTCCAAAGCAGGCTCTTTGCGCTTCCTCACATTTTCCACTTCCGAGAACACTTTTGGATTTCATTTGAATTGGTCTTCATCTCAGTCATTGCGTTCTGCATTATTTTTTCTCTGCTTTCAAAACGAGATGCTTTCAATGTCGTCTTCAATTTCGTAAACAAATAGAAGTCGCAAGGAGATATGTCTGGAAATTAGGGAGGTTGGTGAACCACTGATATTCCACGTTTCGACAAGGAAGTCTGGATCAAGTGCGCTGAATGTGCTGGAGCATTGTCATGCTGTAACTGCCTGTTTTTCGCCGTACAGAGATGCGGTCGTTTGCGACGAAATACATTGCGGAGTCGGAGGAATCTGATACGCAATGTATAGGAAACTAATATGGTTTGAAATAGTTCTTGGAGCCCTACATTTCAAATTACTCAAACTATACTTCTTATTTTTTACTATTACAACTATCAGCTACAATAATTAAGCACTTAAAACATAAAGATGAATTTATACGAACTTACTTGGAAGCACTTCTAGATATGCAAATTTGTATTCATAACCATAGCTATTGGCACCAAGGCAAACATATTTTCCAGCATCTTCCATCTGCACGTTTTCAATTATTAGCTTATGATAATATATTCCGTCTCTCACAAAATAGTCGATTGAGTAAGGTGTTGTTAAAACGTTAAAGTATTCACCTGCCATCTGAATAGGACTTTTTGCATCGTCTGCGCTTTGCCTATTAGGATCAACTTGTTTCAGCCACTGTAAGTACAAAAAATGAAAATTAAGGAAATTCAGATAACACTGCAGTGTTTATGATATTTTAAAATTATCGTATTTTAGTTAAAATGCTAGTGAAAGAAACTTCAGTGTTCACATTTCAAAATAACGCTGATGCACTTATGCTCCACTTTTCTAAATACTGACCGAAATATCAAAAGATTTAGCAAACAAATTTTTAATATTTTTGCGGAATTAACATTTCTCATCTGGTAAACAAACAAAATAATCGTTGCTACTTCTCCGACGATTTCTTAGTTGTTACCAACGCTTCACTTTATCATTAAGAACATCTACACAAAAGTTTTTTTTATAAGAAAACTTATTTACATGTCTTAAGCTACCGTCTCAGATGACAGAGAATTTTAAAAATTACCAACTGAAAATACTTATATATTTAACAATCTCAAACTTCCAGAACGCAAAATTTCAAGGCGTTAACAATTCACATACGTCGATTTGTAATCACAGATATGAAATTTCTTCTTTTCTACCACCCAAAATCAGCATTATCGACATAATGCTGATTTTGGGTGGTAGCCGTTAAAAATCATAAACCACAGTAAGGAGTAAAGCCATCAAATGATTCACAGTTACGCACAGTTATTCCAACACCAGTCTTGATTCTGAAGCATAGTCCCCATGTATCCTTAACAAACATCAAATCACTTGCGCACTTTTGAGCATATATAAAATATATATCAGTCAGATTTTAGTTTTCCGCTTTCCCTCCTCCTTGTTTTATAATATCGGAACCGTCTTCATTGCTTTGCCTGCGACTTTCCCACTAAATAAGTATTTTAATGTATATAACAATGACCAAAGATGCAATTCATTGCGTTGAATAGGGTCTTCTGATAAAAAAGGGATTTTTTTAAAATCTGCAATCGATATTCATTCTAATACTCTTAAATTCTTCTCAATATACATCTAAATCCAAATCCTGGCGAATGGGCTGGCTGCATGGGCGTTTTCCTGTTTTCCGCATGTGTAACGTGTATACGAGCCAGTTTCCCTTAGAAAGTCTTCCAAGAAGGCACCCCTCTCCTTAAGGAAATAAATAGCCTTAGCCATATTAAGCTAAACCAACCTTCTCAATATACTTCATACTGATTACATGAAATACTTGCTTCGGTTCAGATTCAAATCGGAGATACCTCAACTGCAGAAGAAAGCTCTGACCCACCTGAGCTACAGAAAAACTCTAGACATACTTTATTAATTCCTTCTTATGTTGAGCCCTCACAAATGTCTTGTTTAAATAACATATTTACTTAAATCGAAAGTTCGCTCACATATAATTTTTTGGTCTCTGTACAGCTTTATAATTTAAATAAAATTTAATCAGACACATTGCGAGCGTGTTTTCATGTTAAATATTGTCCTTAAGTAGAGAAGTAGAAGTATTTAATGTTACAAAACATTTTAAAAGTTTTTATCTGTTATTTTAAATAAAAACTATTGATTTGCAAAATGAAGTAAAAATTTAAAAAGGAAAATTTGTAGTTCCAAATACCATTTCCTTAATCTGCGTATTGTTGCCGAAAATAATGTTGACATGTTTTATATATACATATTTTATACATTATTTGCTCAGAAATATGACTCTTTGCCCCCCAACTTTGCTATATTTTTGTTCTAAACTTCAATAGAGTCTTATAAATGTATATTTTGTTAAATGAAATTGCAGAATGATAAGAAGCAATTTAAATTCTCATCCTATTTGGAATAATCACACCGTTTAAATGTTAATAACCCATATAGATAATTACCGTACATATAAACTGCATAACTATCGCTAATTATAGTAGCTATGTCGAATAAACTATTTCAATTTAAGATTGCATCCACTATACCGGTCACTAGCATGCTTGAAACTAAATAAGTAACAATGTATCATTAACAGTGTCCCTGGACCACAGTTAAGGATACTATTATTTTAAGCATATTCTGAAGGAGAAAGCACTAGAGATATCTTTTTCAGAATTACTGAAAGACAAAATAAATACTCATCTACATTTTTATTTCACATAAGTTTCGAAACGTCACATAAACATCTAAGGCTCGTGAAACAAATTATGTCTTTCTCTTTTTGTGATGCTTTCGAGTGTTTCGAATCTTTCATTAGATATATTGTTTTCAAATGAAATCGGACAAAGAAAATGGATATACATTTGTCCTTTCGCTAGTTCAACTGACTTTAGATTGAGCTACAGATATTCGTAAATTTCTTTCCGCTATTTCATTTTTCATAGTTTTGCATCCTTATTCTACTCACTTTTCTGCTACTGATTTTTAAATACGGTTGTTAAGATGCTTAAAGTTATTGCGTTAATTGGTTACGTTTTTAGTTCAGGAATCTTATCCTGCATACATATGTGCCGAGAAATGAATCTCACGTTTCTTAATGAAAGCTGAAAGCATGTACTGCAAGCTTGTGCCAAGGAAGTAATTAAAAACATTCCTCTCATGTTTTCTTGAAGGGTAATGGGAGCACATCCACTTAAAAATTCAAGATTCGCGTTCAGCTTTGTCGTGGACATGGTTAATTATTTTTTTTAATTCCTAATCCCTACAAAACAACTAAATGGCTCTTCAAAAGTATATTACAAAACAAAGCTTAACTAAAAATAAACAACACTATGCGCAAAAAAGGAATGCATAATATAATAAGGGTATCTATCCTTAAATGGTATAGTTCTTTAATATATAAAAGAATCTTTCAGAATGCAATGGGAACGAAACTTTTGTTTTAACTCGAGTAAAAATTCATTTAGATTTTCCCCAGTTAAAATTCAGCTCCTCTTCGAGAAGTAAATATCGTTTACATTTAATTAATTACATTAAATTTTTAAATCATTCTGCACCTTCATTATAAATAGTTTGACTACGGCTATGAACCCGTCACGTTGTTCATGATATTAACAGATAACGAACCCATAAACCCTTAAAATCCTCTGTATGTAAATGAACAAAGGTAATGTTGTCGAAATATCAAATCAAAAACTGATACAGTTGGTTTTAAATTTTAAAAAGAAATAATTTCATGGCATAAGAAAATTACATTATAATGTATTTTTCTTCCTCCTTTGCCCATGCTTTCGTGATGTAATTGGAACCATACTCGGCGCATATTCGAGAGGTCCAGGTTTGAATCCCGGCGGTATTGCTCATTTTTCATGTACTCCTACTTCAAAAAAACTTAATGGCTCTACAAGTGGCACCCGAACTAAAAGATGATGAACAGTAATTCGTCACCACCACGATTTGGCGCTTGTGTCCCCTAAGCCCAGTCGCCCTTTAAAGGGGGATTTTCTCCCTCCTCTCACCATGCCTTCGTAGTGTAACGGTAGCACACACGGCGCGAATTTCAGAGGTCCAGGTTCGAGTCCCGGAAAGGGCACTGTACATTTTCCGCATCGCCTGCTTCAAAATAACCTAATGACTCTACAACCTAACATCAGGGAGATTTGTAGAAGCTTGTTATAGATTATAGGACATTTAATATAAATTTTAAATTGAAATCTCAGATTACTAGTCTTTTAAAAACGAATTGTATAGGAGGCAGAAATGTTGGAGAAAATCGACTAGAATTTCGTTATACGGAAACTCTTATGCGTAAAATAACGACATTTAAAAAAATAAGTTTATTAAGCAAAAACAATTCTAAACAGGAAAATATAAACAGCTTCGTATTCAGAACATAAAATATTTCAAAAATCATCATTGAGGAACTCTATAACAAAACAAAAAAAAAAAAAAGGTGACAGATTTGTTCTTGAGAGTAATTCGTTTAGGAGACAATTCATAAGCCTATATTTCATTACACATCTTTATCATTTACGCGACATTTCGTGCTTAATTACGTGTGAACCCCAGGGATCATTTTGCTGTACTATTAAAGTTTGGTTCTTTTTTTTTAATTCAAATTAAATTAATAATAATATCCATATTACGTAGAAATTTAAAAAGATTAAATGCAAGTCCGATATCTGAATCACAGAATACCTTCAGAAAGGGAATTAGTTTGTTTCATTAATATTTGTCATAATCATTTAATAAATTTTGGGAAATAAAACTGTACTTACTATTTAAGCTCGCAAGTAGTTCAGAGATAACATGGTACGGCTTAAGAACTGCGAAGCAATAACTCCTTTAATTACTGTATCTATTTTTTAAAAATCCCTGTGGAGGATTATGGAAGGTATTTAAGAACTGAAGAAGGGAACATTATTTTTTTTATTATCATTGTTTTATTTAGTTTTTTTATTTCCTAAGAGAGGATGAAACAAGCCTAAAGTCAATGCAATTTTCTCAGGATTTATTCAGAAAGCTTTGGTTAAATTTAGAAAATCCGAGACTTATAAGAGATTTAGTTATTTCGAAGCATATTTCTATCTATTTCCGATCATATTTTACACAACAGTATACCTAATTATTTATTATTCTTTGTGTGCATTGTAATTTTAGCACATGACCATATTTTCCTCTACACCATATTGTTACTTTCGTATGCGCTTAAATCAACCCACACGTAGGTATGCGAATCGACTAGAATTTTATTCTAAGAATATTATGATTAGATATAGCGGTCTGTAAGCGTATAATAACGGTGTTACTGGAATTTCAACTTGAGTTCGAATTCCGGCGAACGGCCTGGTTGAATGGATGTTTTCGTTTTCCTCAAGTGTAACGTAAATACGAGCCAGTTTCCCTTAAAAGGGCTCCACGAAACTACCCCTTCCTTAAGGCATATAGCTTTCGTTTGCTTTGGTAACTTAAATGTGAAATATAAATAAATATTTGAAATACTAGGACTCGGTTAGAAGAATCAAAATGTTAATTGATTTTATACATTACACAAGTCATAATTTCGATCAAAATTTCGCTAGCGTAGGGCTTTATAGCAAACTTCTACTTACCAACTAACACTTTACAAACAAACAAAATGTCCTACATTCTTGAGATTAGATCTCACCGAT